CAGCATGTCCTTGCCAAAATGGCATCTATGAAGGGTGATGGATCAACAGATGAAGAAAACAGTGATGAGGAAAGCAGTAATGAAGAAAGCAGTGATGAGGAGGGCAGTGACAAGGACAGCAATGAGGAAGAAAGCAATGAGGAAAGTGATTCTACAAATAGCAGTGATCATGATATGCATCTTTCAGATTAAGTATATATTTAGTAGAAGTAGTTACTGACAAATCAGTTCCACGTGTTTAGCTAGTCCAGCTTTGTTGTTAAATACAGATAACAGTGTAATGGAGTTTAGAGATACAGTTGACAGTCCAGTGGAGTCCAGTTTTGTGTTGGATACAGTTGGCAGTCCAGTAGAGTCCAGTTTTGTGTTGGGTGCAGCAGTGGAGTCCAGTCTAGTCCAGTTTTGTGTTGAGTACAGCAGTGGAGTCCAGCCCAGTCCAGTTTTGTGTTGGATAGTCTAGTGGAGTCCAGTTTTGTGACAGTATGTAGTGAAGTCTCAATATATAGTGAAGTCCAGTGAAGGCTGGTGGAATCCAGTGGAGTCCATGTGGATTGCATGGGGGATGGTAAAGTATTGGCACAATGCATCACAGTCCTGACCACAACTCTCACGAATGGGTTCTGATTTCTGCTCAGCCCCAGGTAAGCACCGTTATTCACACTTATTTTCCTTTATTTTCAACAATTGTTGCAGCTACTTCTGTGGATGCAGAGCAAGCATTCTCCACTGGTCACCATCAGATCAATTTTACCCAGCACAATATCAACTCTCAAACATTCAAAGCAGAAATGGCTCTTGGATCCTGGATTAAATCCCCCCTCTACCCAGGCTTCAATAAAGTTACACAAATGATTGAAAAAAAGATGGACAATGATTTCTTTTCCTCTTGAATAGCTTTTGTAACACTTTACGTCACCAAAATTGTTCTTTCAATACCTCTACCTAAATATCAAGTTTCAGAGTGGCCAAGTCATGCTAATACACACCCCAAAACACACTCTGTGATCAAGGCTCAGTCACAGCAGCATTATATGAGGGGAAAGACATCAAATTATGATATATCAACTTGTGTAAGAGGGCCATTGCAAGCATGGCAGATACGAGTCCTTTTTATATTCAGGAAGCCACAATGCAGCACCACAGCATTCACATTTTTCATTATTTAGGAAACTGGGCATGTGACCACCTCCTGAAAGCCCATCAGATCTATACCCATTATATATATATATTATTGCTATTTTTTATTGGACAAATTGTATATTTCCATGTATATAAAATACTGGACCTTACAGAGAGTCCCTACCTTGAAAGCGACAATAAGTACTATGCTCCATTTTTCACTAAATTTTTCCAGTCCTTTATAGCTATTTTTAACTAGATTATTATGTATGGAATTTTCTTCTGGACCCTGAACATGCTCCACAGTATTGCACAAACAGTGAGCATCTTCCTTCAATTTCCTTCTGATTTTTCTACTATTATATTGCCATTTTTTGATTCAAAAAGTGCACATTACCTCAGTTGAAAATATGCCATGTACTCTGAAAATGGTCCCCAACATTGTCATCAACAATGCATATTGTCCCCCATTTGTTCCTGATTTGTCTTCTGTTTTTATCACTATTGTTCCTTTCAAAAAATGTTTGACAACATCATCAAACCATCAAATCTTATGGGAAGAAAGGCAAGATTCAGTGTTAGAAGTACTGAAAAAATCCTTGAGATCAGAGAGTAACAAACTAGTGTCTTTATAAACTCAGAGGACTCATAACATCATTGCTAACAATGAGCACCATATTCCAACTTTCTGTGATTTTTGTGTTATTTTCTGGCAATTGTTGAATAAATTTCCATATAAGGAAATGCACCTGAGACCCTTGAAACAGTCCTAACATCAACATCAACAGTTAGCACCATTCTTCAATTGTTTTCCATTTTTTCTGCCATTTAATTGCTATTTTTCAGTTGGACAAATGCTGAGTGCCATATACGGAAATTTACCAGAGACCCTGAGAGTGTTTTCAAATGTTGTCACCAACAGTGAGCACCATCAGCCATTTTCTTCTAATTTTTGTGCCAATTTATTGCTACTTCTTTATTTGAAAAAGCTTGCATTAGCTTGATTTTGTGCAAACATATATCTATTTGTGCACATAGCTTTTATTACATAATATACATAAAAACAAACTGTATTTTTCTTGGTGTTTTATTTCATTTATTTTAGATTTTATGTTGGTGAGCTTCAGATTCTTCTTTGAAAAAGTATGTTTATTTGGACTTTGACCTTATTACATAATGAATTGTATACAGGTATGATCCCTGAAATTTTACATTTTTTCTGCATTTTATTTCATCTGAATTGGACTTGATTTGGTAAAGTTACACATTTTTCTTTAGGCAACGCTTGGAACTCAAGAAGCGATGACGCACGAACATTTCCCGATCGCTTGATGGGGGACAGTTTCGTGCGTCATAGTAGATCTCAGATCAGTTACCATTTTCGGTAATAAATACAGATTCATGTATAACTCAGCGAGTTTTGATCCAAATAATGGGGAGGCGCAATGCCTGCGAAATCAATTTGTGTTTGCACCTATTTGGTCTCCCTATACATGGACGAGAATCAAGGAAAATCAATATTCTGCATGACCCAGCACAATATCCGGAAATATTGATATACAAATTGGGACTAAAACAAGTTTTTTAGGGAATGGCCCGAGAATTTCCAATGCAAGTCAATGATGAGGTGTAGATATCTCCCTGATCTATGGGGAGCAGTAAGATTATTTTTGATATTCTCGGGCCATTCCCTGAACAATGAAAAATAAAGTGTAGTCTTACTATAAAGTGTAAGGCCCATTGCCCGTGCAAAGTAGTTATTTTGTTTTCAAAACTGCCTGCGAAATGCGCTAAATTAGATTACATAATCACGCGAAGGAGGTGTCGCGTCGCGTCAATGCGTTGATGATACACATTCTCAATGACTATTAGGGCCACTCTACATTATCTCTACTACCCAAATTACTCCCAGAAACTTTTCATGACGCAAAGCATTGCCCAAAGGCCAAAAGTGGTGCTCCAATGCACAAGGCAGATCTCGCTCGTTGGCCCAACAGATGTGACAAGGAAGCGGAAAACATGGTGTCTTCATTTGGAAAATTTTATATGACCTCAAGCATGAACTATCTGACTACAAACAGCAGATAAAAGGCCAGAAAACAAGTCTCATTTTATGACTTTGACAAGACTCTGACTATCATGATGACCTAGCATAGTCACCAATTCAATTTTACCGCACATTCACATTGTGATCTAACATACATACATTTACTATGCCTTTACCAGCCTAGAAATTGTAGTGGAACACGAGGAAATTATTTGGGAAGATAAACGAGACATTTGGCAGGATTTGTGTGGCTGTGCACTTAGTCATCCGGTCAAATCAGTTGCAGGCATTGCGCCTCCCCACAAATAACATGATTTCTTTTGTGATGGGTACTCCTCATTTCCGTGGTCATGGTGATGTTATGTTCCTGGTAAACAAACACAAATAAACAGTTGCAAAAACGAAATAGATGATAGATTTTACATCTGATCAATTAAATGACTATTGATATACAGGTTAAACAGTAACAAATATTCACAAATAAGTGGGAGTCATTTCAATGTTGATTTTGGGATGTTATAGGGTGCACAGAATCTCTAATTGAGCTATAGCATGTATTTCTGAAGTAGATGACATGATCTATTTCCTTTTTAAACAATCTTTGCCACAATATACAAATGCAGGGGGCAGATCTCAGGGGGTAAGTTTTAGATCTCATCTCTCATCTCTTGTCCTCTTGGCATCACAGATTCTGACGACACATGAAACTTCCCCCCATCAAATGATCGGGAAATGTTCATGCATCATAGAATCTTGAACATTTGTACTGAGGCTGTGCAACTTCGGTAGTATTCATCATAGATTCCG